ATTGTACCGGTGGATACCCCTTCGGTCACGCAATAGGCCGAGAGGGGTACCCGAACCGGAGGGCCACACCATATAGCACCCCCTCGGTCAGACAATAGGCCGAGAGGGGGGCCCGAACCGAAGAGTAATACCACGTGGCACCCCCTCGGTCAGACGATAGGCCGAGAGGGGGGCCCAAACCGATGAACCACAGCTCCCCCCCTCGGCACCATACCTAGTCGAACACCCCCTCGGCCTCAGGCTAGGCCGAACACTCTTCTGGTCCCTTGGGAAAGACCCAAAGAGTAGTAGTTACTCAACAACGTCCTTTCGACCCCAAGCTTGGCCGAACACCCCTTCGGCCCCAAGCTTGGCCGAACACCCCCTTCGGCCCCAAGCTTGACCGAACACTTCTTCGGTCCCAAGCTTGACCGAACACCCCTTCGGCCTTATGCCTAGCCGAAAGCATAGTGAAAAACCCATGGTGAACACGTGGCAAATCAAACACTGGTGAACACGTGGCAAACCAGATACCTACTAAGATACTAATCACCAGGCCAAATTAAGACAGGGTTAAGGTTAATTCACGTGTTACCCGCATCCCAAGAATGAAGGCCCACCAGGCCCAAACATGTCACTATAAATATACAGGTGATATGACATAAATGAGGTACGTTACTATTCCCACTAGCACATTTATTGCTCTAAACCGAACACTGACTTGATCGTCGGAGTGCCTTTGCAGGTACCCTCCCCACCATTCGGAGTTAGTGATTCAGTCGGCACGGAAGACTCGGAAAGACTGGAAGACAGCTAAGAAAGGAGTAAGGAGACAAGTGTTCTTCACCCGGAACAAGTGTGAATATCTGATTTAGTTAGTTTTTTATCGCGCGGGTCCTATTTAGCAAAAAAAAAAAAAAAAACAACAACCAAACTCCCTTGTCAACTATTAAAAGCAAAAATGGTGACACTGGATCTCCTTGCCTCGGTCATCTTCCCATGCTAAATTTCTTTGTTCGACTTCCATTCAGGCATTCACAAGAACAAAAATTATAACCGTACATGAATACTTATTTATCCACCCATCTATCCTGCATCAAAACTTTTTCGTTCGATCATATAAAGTAATTTTAACATACAAGTCATATGTTTTCTCAAAATCCAACTTAAAACACATCAGTTTCTTCTGCCTTTGTCGTGCGTGATCAATAATTGGTAGTTGTTAACATTTATCACCTGGTAAATTACAAAATTTCTCCATACATCCCGATAAGAATTAAGATAGGGACTAAGGGATAAAATAAGGCTCGTGAAAAACCTTTATCACGTGCCTTTTTGGCATTCCTTTCAATGGACAAAAAAAATCAATTTAAGACCTGTAACACAGCCCACCACATCTACTTGTTTCTGCCTACTTTACAGTAAAAGTCTTAACCTTGACTCTTATAGTCGTCCCACTTGAAACTACCTCATTTGTTTCCTTCATAGATTCAAGCATTTTAATTCACACTTTTGATTAACATATTTTATATTTTTTAAAAATAAATTAAAACACTGTAGAAAACATTTGTTTAAGATACACTTTACATAAAATAAAACAAAACACGCACCAAAAGTTAGATGAACTTGTTACAATACAAAAGGAAAGATGCAAGACTGTGGGATAAAGAAAAAAAAAAGGTACCCGCTCTCCAAGTTTTCAAAAGCAGGCTTTAATTTACTTTGTAATAAAGGTTAGTTGTGCCGTCAGTTTAGCTTACGAATAGGAGGTATTCGTTTGTAATTTATTTTACAAGAATTTATTTGTTTCTGATATATTTTTTTTATCGACTCTTAAAGAAAAATTCTTTACGGAATTATCATATTAAAAACTAATATTTTAACACGTATATTACATAAAATAAATAATTATATTTTCACAATTAAACATTATAATAAACAAATATATTTGATTATATATTATTTTAGATTTATAATAAGTAATATAAATTATGGTATAATTTTTTAATTATTGATAAACTAAACTTTATTCAAATTCGATTTATAAATAAAAATTAAAGAAAGACAATTTGAAATATTACCTAACTGCGAGAGTAATATTTGAAGTGCATTTTCAAAAAAAGGAAAGAGAAAAAATTGTGAATTACAATTTATAAAATCGGAATAAATTAAAACTTTGAGTAATTTTCTTTTAATAATTAATTAATTGTTTTCAAACAAACAATTATTCGATATCACGTTTTTTATTTAAAAGCCATTGGGCTTTTCCGCCCAGCAGATTATTCCCTCTAAAAAAAAAAGTGATTGTGCCGTCACGTCGCCACGTGTCGCATTTGAATTGGAGAGATCATTTACCCTCAACAACTCTTCACATGCTATCTTCCCCCTCTTGGGCTCACTATAGCTAACAGCCTATTTCCTAAAAAAAGCTCGAAAGGACCCAGCCTCGGATCCGAAGCAAGGAGCTTGGGGCCAGCGAAGCTTAGCTTGGGGCCGAGCCTGAGTATTGTTCCTGTGTTCGTTGAAAATTTCGCACTATTTCGATCACTTTATCTGTGTGAGCTAAGAGAGTCCTATTTTCTTCTGCTTCCACCGCTTCAAACCCTAACGCTTGCTTCCTCAACACTCTCGCAGGATCAATTTTGAGCTTCAATGGAGCCTTCTCAATGTCACTGTGAGTTCATGGGCTATCTTTCTATCTCTCAAAACCCTAGCCTTCTCTCTCTAGGAACCCTTTCTTTGCGGAAAATAAAACAAAAACAAAAAAAACCAAATCTATGCTTGCGTCTCTGGCTTTTCGCGTTGGGCGCGATTTCGCAAGCTCGTGCAGTCGTTTTATGTCCTTTGCTCAATTTGAACGCCGATTGTGAGCTCGAATTGTGCCACGTTTCCGATCTTTTGCGTTTTCGTCGTAATTTTGAGATTTTCGAGTGTTTTTCGGTTTTGGTATGAGCTCAGCTGGTGCGAAAGTAGGGGAAATGGAATAGTAATTGAGTGTTGTGTGTTTAGCTCCCTGTCATTTCTTTAAGAAGGGAATATATTTCAGCTTAGGTAAATTGTGCAAATTTGATTTTCGCTTCAATTGTCTTTGTTCTAGTTTTAGGTTTCTACAGTGCTACGAAAGGGAGTGTGAATTCCTTGCGTACTAATATAACCTTATTGTAGTCTGTGGAAACGAAAGGGAACGGTTTCTTCTACTGACAATTTATGCATGTAGATTACGCTCGGTTAATTTTAGGATAAGTTTTAAAAACTGGTTTCTTCAAATTCTATCCCTGCCCTGTGGATATTATATTAGTCTGGAGCTGGAAGGTATGGTCAAAGGTGATGAAATTTTGCGGTGACTGGTGAGCCTCTTTTTTTTTTTATAGTTGTAGTTGAAGTGCATCTGTACATGCAGAACTAAATGAGGGGAAATTTTGAGGCTCTGGATGCTTGAAGTGTTTGGATAAGTTCACTCTTTGGGATGTTTGCTGGTTATCGGTCCGCAATTAATTGGAGTTTGCTTTTAATTTTGAGAAATAACTGCCAGTTGCCATAAACACACCTTTCTCACATGTCTTAAGGATGATGAGCTATAGGATTAGTTAAAAACTAAGGGGTTTGGTATGTCAAAACGCAGATTAAACATTGAATGCCATTACTAGAATGACATGCATTTGTAAATAGAAAAGATGAAACTGCATACGGGGAATGTGAAATAGAAGTTTTACAGTGTGGTTTTTATTCCCATTTCTTCATGCCTCTGGTTTTTCCAACCTGTAAATCTGCAGGAAACATGTTTGAGGTCATGCATTTCTCTTCAATAAGTGTTTTTCCCCACAAGATTCATCACTATGGTTGATTTGGAAGTTGTTGCTGTCTGTTTAAATATTCTCCATTTTGATTCCTCGCATGCACCAATCTTTCATTTGGCTGAAAATTTTGGAGGGGATGGCTATGCATATTTTTACATATTTATTTATTTGTGAGGTGTGGTGGCACTTGTGTCCAGAAAGAAAAAGTCCTTTTTACAAGTAGATACTTTTGTATAAGGATAATGTCTGTTAGAACCTTTAGTAGTTTTTCAATACTAACCTACTATAATAGTACTCCTGTAAGTAATGAAGAAACTCTTGTTATATTAAAAATATTTGTAAAAAAAACATGGTTTAGGCTTGTAGAGCATGTAACACTATAACTTGGAAGTTGGAATACATTCCTTTCTTCTTTTTCTTCAAATTTTCTCTTCCTTTTCCCTCATATTTTTCTAGATTTAAGGAAGAAAACTGAGAACCTTAATGTTGGATATATGATCTCATCTGATGAACTTCTGTGCTTTGTCTTTCACTTTACCAAGGCGTTTGATGCAGTTTACTTGTGTTTTGATCAATTAACCATAATGCTCCAAAAAATTTGGTCTACAAAAATAAATAAATTAGGACTGCTTTTACCCAGGCAATTTCATTTGGCAATACAATGCTTGTCACATAAAGTTTTCATTCCTGGAAGCCTGTTCTTGCTTAATGAAAAATGTACTTTGTGCGTGTAAATTGTTTGCATTTCACTATTGTGCACTAATCCTCAGAATTGTGTTATATGTGGTCCATTTTATTAATAGTGATCAACTATGGCATCTTCAATGGGATGTCAGTTATTGTTATTTATCATTGTCTTTGCACAATAATGTATAAGTAAATATACACCAAATGGATTTTTGCTTGAAGGCTAATTCTTCTTCTTTAATAATTTCCAGGATTAAATGATAGTAGCTCACAGGTGTGTTTCTGGACAGCATAATATTTGGAGAAACTTTTTCTTGATCTTCCTTGATTTACTACGCCCACTTATAAAGAATTATCTACTGAAAAATCGTGGGCTGGGTTATCTATGCCTGGAAACGAAGTAGGAGACAGGGTCCATAATTTTTTTGGTCAAGAGAACTTGTCCCAGGGCCAATATCATTCACAGGCAGGTGACGGGAACTGGCCAGGTATAAGCAACAATTTGTGGGCTGGTAGCCAGAGACCAACTGGTGCACCCTTTATTTCCAATTTGAAGAATTTTAATCAACAGCAGTCAGGTAGAAATAGATGTTATTTACCTTATTTTTTAAATAGCTTCTTACTTATCTATCAATGATAATATATTTACTTGCATTTATTCTTTTTTAATTTTATTTTATAATCTCTATTGGTTTAACATAAGTTATAACTTTGATTTTTAAGGTTCATTTTGTTAGTAGTCTTTTTCCCCATTACTAATTGTATTTCCTTTTACTTGCGTTAAGATTTTGAGCAGGGACACACAAGCTCTCCACATTTGCGTCATGGTTTGAACCTGGCACAATCAAATTTGAGGCCTGACTCTGGCAGAAATCAACTCCCAAACCAACAGACAGCTGTAAATGGCTATATGTCAGGACATCAGGTTTTTCAGTCCAGGCAAAATGAAGCCAACATTTTGGGAATGGATACCGAAACTGATTTGCATGGCATATCAAGTCTGTCAAGAGGAATATCAGTACTAGAGTCACAACAAGGGGCTGGTCTTGAACACTATAAGAAAAATTTGACTAGGACTGATGCATCTGAGTCTCCTGTCAATTATGATTTTTTTGGAAGTCAACAGCAAATGAGTGGTCGCCATTCAGGCATGCTTCAGTCTTTTTCTAGACAGCAGTCAGGGATGAATGACATGCAGCTTTTACAACAGCAAGCAATGCTAAATCAGATGCAAGAACTTCAAAGGCAGCAACAATTTCATCAACTAGAAGCTAGGCAACAGAGTTCTATGAATCCAGCCTCCTCCATTTCAAAACAGACAGTTGCAAGCCAATCTGCATCTCTTATTAACGGCATTCCCATCAATGAGGCATCTAACCTTGTGTGGCAGCAGCCTGAACTTATGGCAAATAATGCAAATTGGCTCCAGCATGGTGCATCTCCAGTTATGCAAGGGTCCTCTAATGGACTGGTGTTACCTCCTGAACAACTGCGCCTTATGGGTTTGGTTTCTAATCAGGGAGACCAGTCTCTGTATGGGCTTCCAATTTCTGGCTCAAGAGGTACACCTAACCTGTATTCTCACATTCAAGCAGATAAGCCTGCAATGTCTCAGGTTTCTGTCCAACATCAACATCAGTATTCTCGCATTCAAGGCGACAAGTCAACATTGCCACACATATCAGCAAGTGGTCATTCATTTCCAGTTCATCAGTATGCTTCAATTTCGGATCAAACTAACATGAATGATGGAACTTCAGTTTCAAGACAGGAAATTCAAGGAAAAAATATGTTTGGTTCTCTCGCTCAAGGTATAAACAGTGGTCTAAATATGGAGAACATGCAGCCAGTGAATTCTGAGCAACGAGATGTACCAATTGAAGATTTTAATGGAAGGCAAGAACTAGCTGGATCTTCTGACACTTCACAGGACAAGGTGGTAGGTCAGGTTGCTCCTTCACAGAATGCAGTGACCCTAGATCCAACAGAAGAGAAGATTTTATTTGGTTCAGATGACAGCCTTTGGGGTGGATTTGGTTGGAATAGTGGTTTAAATATGCTGGATGGTGCGGATAGTTTTGGTGGAGTTCAATCAGTTCAGAGTGGGAGTTGGAGTGCACTTATGCAGTCTGCTGTAGCTGAAACTTCTAGTAGTGAAATGGGTATACAGGAAGAATGGAGTGGTCTTAGTGTCCGGAATACTGAACGTTCATCTGGAAGTGAGCGGCCTTCAACCATTGATAGCAGCAAACAACAATCAGTTTGGACTGACAATAACTTGCAGTCAGCACCTAATATAAATTCAAGGCCTTTTCTTCGGCCAGATGATCTCAGCAGGCCCAGTACCACTGTAAACTATTCTGGTATTCCTGGATTTCATCAATCAGGTGCTGATACCGCACAGGAACATCAAGACAGGTTACAGACTGATTCTTCCCAAAGATCAATTCCACAGTTTTTAGAAAGAGGCAAATGGTTGGATTGCAGCCCTCAGCAAAAACCAATTGCAGAAGGGAATCATGTTTATGGAAATGCTGCTAATACCTCAAGTTTGGAACTAAATGAGAAGGTTATTTCAGGTTCTTGGACCCATCAACAGATGCTTTCATCCCCTAATAGTAGGGGGGAGCAATTCAATAGATCTAATGGATGGAATGCTATTAAATCACCAACACCCAATAACAATTCTAATATTAAAATCCGTGAAAAAGAAAATGTGTTGCAGCCTCATCATGATAAAGCTATGCAAGAGGATATGGGCCAGGTTCCTAAAATGTGGGAGCCCGATTCTGATACTAATTCCTCTGTTGGGTTGGAACATGCAAAGTCTCCAGGTAATATGCAGGTTTGTGGGGAGGATTCTGGTATGAATGGAATTGCTGCCATACCAAATTCAGGTGCTACATGGGTCAGCAGGCAAAGCAACCAGCAGCTCCCTAATGTTGATGCATGGAGACATACAGATTCTGTGGGGAGCTATAGAAGAAATGAAGGTGCAGGAAAATATAGGCATCATATGGAGAAAAATCCTTTAGTTTTGGAATCATTGAAGAATGAAAAGTCAGAAGGAGAGGCACATGATATGGAAAACTCTAACAAAAAGGATAAATCAGTAGATGGTCTTGCCTTTAATTCTTCCCATCACAGAACTGGTAGTTTGAGAGAAAATCCCAGTTTTGACGGTGATTTGCATAGTCCAAAGTTATCTGGGCAGGGAAATCGAAGACCTCCTATAACTCGTAAATTTCAGTATCACCCAATGGGGGATGTTGGTGGTGCTGACATAGAACCTTATGGAAACAAACATGTCATAAATTCACAGCCCATGCCTCATCAACCCATTGGAGGACTTAAAGGGCAGGACCAAAGCTATCCTGGGCAATCAAAATACAGTCATTCTGATGGGAATTATAATGAAATGGAGAAGGTAATTTTAGGAGTTTACCTTATAATGCAAGTGTTACTATATTGATTGCACAAAGTTTTCTCTATTTATTACAGAATCAGAAGTTGTTAAATCCTTCAGAATTTAACATAGGAATGAATTTGCTTTTCAGGGTGACTCAAAAACCATAGATGATAATGCTTCAAAAAGCATGCTGCCTGGCCATATACCCAAAACATTGACTCCATTTGATAGAACTGTTGGAAATTATGCCTTGAACAATACTGCTTCGCCCAGGTAGTTGATTGTTGAAAGTTTTCTTCTTGCTTTTGTTTAGAGCTTAGAAAATTAGTGTGCCATGATGTGGTAGTTGCTTCTAAATTATTGTTCAGTGTTCTCTTATGGGAAGTTACCATGACTTGTGTTTGTTTTACTTTTTCATTTGCATAGTTCTGGTCTAATTGGAACCAAAATCTGCTGGTCTACTTATTTCTCTTTTGTTTTCCTACAACTCTACTCTTCCACGATGTACATGGTAACCTTAGCTCAACTGTTTGCTTTGATTTGTTAAATTATTGTAGTCAAAATATTCTTGAGCTTCTTCATAAAGTGGATCAGTCAAGGGAGCATGGCATTGCAACAAACACAAGCACTTCTAACCGCCCTTTATCTTCCAGGGTGATGGATACTGAATCTTCTGATGGATCTGTTGTACATCCTCAACGAAATCAAAGTTCCTTGTCTCAGGGCTTTGGTTTACAATTGGCTCCTCCTACCCAAAGGCTTCCTCTGGCATCCTCTCATGCTACACCCCATGTTGCATCTGAGACAGGGGATAAGGGTCATACTTGGTTGGCTGCTACTCAGACTTTTCCTTCTCGAGAATCATCTCATGAGCTTAGAAGTAACATTTCCAGTTCCTCTGGACAACTATTTGACAAAGCCTCACAGTACAGTGCACTGGGAAATATTCCTCAGACTTTCACATCAGGCTTTCCTTTTTCAAGAATCCATACTCAGAATCAGAATGTGGCTAGTCTTGGTGGACAACTAGCAAATACCCAATGTGATAGTGCAACTTTTGTTGACCGGACTGCTTCCACTAGTCAGGTAGATGAATATTGTGAAAGAGCTCAAACTAGTCAATCTGAATTGCAATCTGCTCCGGACATGTCCCAGATGGTGGATGGTATGAACCAAATCCATGCTGGTGATCCTACCATGAAATTTTCGGCATTGGAGGCTGGCACAGCTTCTCATCCTTCTGTTACAGCATCTCTACAGGGTGCCCCTTCAAAAATTCTACACAATGTATGGACAAGTGTTTCTAACAAGCAATATCCTAATGCTTTGAAGATTTCACCCCATCCTCAACAAATTAATATTTGTGAAACTACAACAGGACCACAGAAGCCAAGTATTGAAGATTCAGAGAAAGATGGTAACCTTTCTGGGCAGCAGGTATTGCAAGTGAGTGTTGATACTGTTGAAGAGATTGCAAGTGCTTCACATGTGAAATATACCCCTGATGCATCTCAATCAAGCCCAGCTGCTACCTCTAAAGATATTGAAGATTTTGGCCGGTTTTTAAGACCAAACAATATTTTGCATCAGAATTTCTCTATGCTAAATCAAGTCCAGTCCATGAAAAATATGGAGATTGATCCTAGTAATCGAGATGTCAAGAGATTCAAGGTTTCAGATAATGTGATGGACAAACAACAGGTAGATTCCAACCATGGGCAACAGTCATATGGATACAATAACATAGTCAAAGATTTGTCAGGTAATAGTTCTCCAGTGCCACCATCAGATCCGAACTTGCTAAGCTTTTCAACAAAGCCAGGTGATGCCCAAGACACTAATGCATCTTCTCAGGAGATGGTTGGATATGGTCAGAGGAATGCTCTTAATGTTGCTAATAATAACAAATTAACTTCTGTTAAAAGTGAGCATTCTATGATAAATCCTCAGATGGCTCCATCATGGTTTGATAAGTATGGAGCTTTTAAAAATGGTAAGACGTTGCAAATGCACGATGTACGAACAATGACTCCTCACAAAGTTATGGAGCAGCCTTTAATAAGGAATCAATCTGGTAGTTTGCATATTGCTAATTCAGTGGAGCAAGTTAATAGTCTCAGTGTTGCTGGTCAGCTTGGTAATGGTGGGCAAAACCCAATGCTCACTTCAGCTGGAAGTGAGCATCTTCCTTCTCAGTTATTGCTTCCTCCAGCTGTTGAACCTGATCTGTCTAGTATGCGACCAAAGAAGCGTAAAGATTCCACATCTGAACTCATACCATGGCATAAAGAGATGAGTCTGGGCTCTGAAAGGCTTCAAGATATCAGGTGGTTGACAAAATTATGCGGTTTTATGGCTCATTTTAGATTAATTTACATATAAACAGCTTTTCAGTTCCAAGTTCTATGATGATTTTGATTTGAGGTTCTTAAAGTAAGCTATTCAAATTAAGCATTTAATGTGCCTGTAATTTTTTATTGCTATTGTTTATGATTAGAAGTTGGAGAAGATCCTGTCTCTTTCACCAGTTGCTAGATCTGTTTTCAATTTCTTAGAAAGTATTTTATGCCTTTTTACGATATAATTATATTTTAATCATTTTTTATATTCACCAATTTGTGATGTATTGTTTCCTCTAAGATTGAGTTTCTTTATTATTTGGCAGTGCGGCAGAATTTGAGTGGGCCCAAGCTGCAAATAGATTGATTGAGAAGGTTTGTTCATAATTAAATCAGTCTAAACCAAATCTCTTAATTCATTTGCTACTAGGAGTTCACTTTGCTCGATATATGACATTAGGTTGAGGATGATGTTGAGCTAGTCGAAGATTTGCCAATGATGAAGTCAAAAAGAAGACTTGTGTTAACATCTCAGCTTATGCAGCAGCTACTTAATGCCCCTCCAGCTGCAGTTCTCTCTTCAGATGCCAAGTCGCATCATGAAAGTGTGGTCTACTCTGTTGCTAGATTAGTGTTGGGAGATGCATGCAGTTTGGTCTCATGGTCTGGAAATGACACACTGATGTCCTCTGGCAGCAAAAAACTGTAAGATTTTTTTCTTCTCTTTTCTGAATGAGCATATGATGGTTTTGAATGTATAGCAAGGTCATATCAAGTGAACTCTATCTTATAGTGTGATGTAAAAAGTGGTTGAAGAGCTAATTTTGATCATTCAATTTTTCAGGGATGACAATTGTTAGAAGTTATTTAGAAGAGTTACACAATCATTTCAAAAAATTGCATGACTTTATGTTTCCCAATGTGTTTGGATTAACAATTTAATTAAGAATTTATTTAATTACCTTATTTCTATAAGCTTCACTACGAAGCATATTAAAATAAGCTAAAAAGAGCTTATATAAAAGCCATTAGTTACTTTCATAAGCTTAACCAAACACATACATAAGTGCTTATATGATGAGCCCAAATAAGCTCTGTAGGAACCCTTAATCTTGATCGTATACACGCATAATTCTATTGTTTGGATCTTTTGATATCTCCACTTGTAATAAATTTTTTATTGATATATTCTGTAGCCTGCCTGATAAGCTCAAATCATCTGAGAAAATTGATCAGTGCATTTTGAACGTGGAAAACTTTGTTGGTAGAGCGAGGAAACTGGAAAATGACATATTGAGGTACTATCACTGTTTATTTTTCTCATGGCCTTGGCAAATGTATGTTGCCTTTTCCTGTTCTTTGTGGTAATAAAATTTCATGGAACAATTGATTTGACTAGTTTGAAATATGGAATATTTTCTGACCTCTTTACTTTATCATTGCTCTGAAGAATGGGTTCAATAGCTTGAGAAATAAAGATAGAATTTGCTGGCATAAGTTATTTATCAGGAAAATTTAGGTTGGATGTCCTATTTTACTAGTGTTAGTGAAAGAATCAAGAAGTGTGTTTATGATGGTAGAAGTTTTCAGCTTTTGTTCTCTCTGATTTGTATCTCTTCTCTTGCAAAATTGATGATTAAAAGTCCAGGAGAAGCAAAATTATTTCAATTAGTTCCTGAAGATAACTAACTGATTTGTTGTGAAGGAAGAGGGTATTATGATATGCTTGTTCTGATAGACTGCAAATTTACTCAACTAGCAATATGACGGAGCCTGTTTTTGGCTTGTCTTTACAGTTTGATTTTACTGGGTAATGATGATATTTGCAATATTTCATATACTAGGATGTGGAAGCATTGGTCTGTGTTCTCTCTTTTCCGTTGCCTACTGCTGCTATAATCTCTTTAGATTTAGTTTAGGTTATTCTGTTTTTGTGTCTGTTGCTTTTCTTTATCTTAACATGATGGCTGCAATTTCGTTGTTCTCTCCGTTTACTTACTTTTTACCAATTTTGTTGTTGATGATGCAGATTGGATAGTAGAGCCTCAATTTTGGACTTGAGAGTGGAATGTCAAGATTTAGAAAGATTTTCCGTCATCAATCGATTTGCCAAGTTTCATGGTCGGGGGCAAAATGATGGGGCAGAAACCTCATCCTCTGATGCAACTGCAAATGCTCAGAAATCATGCCCCCAGAAATATGTTACTGCAGTTCCAATGCCTAGAAACCTACCAGACAGGGTACAATGTCTTTCACTTTGATAATTAATTAATTCATTTTTCCATCTTTCTTGGTCAGTTGTCTCCACAACATCCTGTTTCTGGTCCTTCTCTTTCAACTTATATTATTGCACTTCATCGCCATAGAACCATACAACTGGCAATGTAGGAGAAGAATGATACTAGATTGCCTCCTCAACCAATGGAGGCTATTAGATCTTTTCAATCTATATATGTATGTATGTCTAGATCTGCGCAATCTAGTTATCTTTTACTATTGGTTTTCAGGTTCCAAGCCATTTGTATATATTAAGATAAGATATGCAGTTTACTTAGTTTTAACCATACCATTTGACTCGGATTTAGCTGATTAGTTAAGCATAAGCTGTTCAATGTTTTTTAATAGAACATAAGATGTTATTTAGTCATTTCCTTTTTCTCAATTTTAAGTCATTTTCCTGTATTTGTATGTACCAAGATAATGTGTAGTCTACCTAGTTTTAACCATACCATACCATTTGGCTCAGTTGTCTGGTAAATTAGCATAAGCTGTTTAGTATTTTACTGAATGATTTCTGCTATCAAACTTCTAAGCATTTTGTATGTTGTGGAATAATTAGAGCATTGGCTCATCTTCACTCAATAATTTTTAAAACATCAAGTCGTTTTCCTCTATGTAGTCCTTCCTGCTGTCGAGCTATTCTAAGCCCCTCAGCTTGTCTATCCCGCACTCTGACGGGGATGTTAAGTAACAACCATCGTCATGTCTATGCCTCTGCCCTCTAGGGGATATTCTCGGTTTGCTTTTGGGAAACAATTTGACAGTCTATTTTTCATCAATTATTATTATGAGTAGTATCATGAAATCTCCTGTCATATTTTTGTTGCTTTCAGTCTCCGGGATAAAAGTGATGGTTGACGTGTTGCTTTTTGATTAATTTAGTTGTGGAATATCAAAATACTTTTTTTTATAAAAACATTCCGGTCTGGCATTCGAAACAAATACTTAGTTTAATTGTTTTCTAGCTTGTCCCAAAATGACTTGGTGTGTTTGGTTTGTGGTGATTGGATAACAACACTTAGTTTGCCTCATGAATGTTTATTTTTCATTATCTTCCGAT